GGGGGGGGGGGGACGGTCGAGACCACTTGGACCGCTCCTTTTGTCCCCGGAGAAGGCGCGAGATATCTCTCTTTATCCGGATTAAGAGGCGAAAGGGGTCAAGACTCGGGGATTAATAATTTGTCCCCGGGAAGGGGAGGCAGTGATCACGCTCGGACGTATCAGCAAGACGGCTCGTGTCGTCCTGTCACGCCGAGTGGTCCCTTCTTTCGCCCGTTCGGTTCCCTTCGCCACTCGTTGGTCACTCGTCGTGCATTTTGTCGAGAGCACGCCCGGACCAGGACCCGGACGTCGAAAATCGTCGAGCAGAATCGGTACCAGAACCGGACGACGACCGGCCCCGGGGAGAAACCAGAGGGAGAAAAAGGAGCGCGAAGCAGCGAGAAAGACGAATCGGCAGGATGGTGGAAAAGGAAGAGAGAGAGAGAGAGAGAGAGAGAGAGAGAGAGAGAGAGAGAGAGAGAGAGAGAGAGAGAGAGAAAGGGAAGAGGATACAGCCGCAGGCAGAAATACGACGAGGCGGAGCAGATAAACGACGTATCGAGCACGCCTGTTGAGAGAGCGTTTTCGTTCGATAAACAGAATAATTTGATGTCGTCGTGGTCGTCGGCACGATTGATAAAACCGGACCGCGTCGATGGAAACGCGGCCCCGGAGAGGCCTCCGACCAGTGTTTGTCCCGAGATAATACACGCTCGTTGCGCCGATACCGGTCCGCTGATAATTTATAAGCACGAGCGCGCTCGCGCCTACCATCCGCGATGCGTCCAGCGATGTCGCGGGACGGGACACGGGAATGTGTTAAAGCTGGCGTTAAAACGGCTTCCCGTTTTCGTAAGGAACGGCCCGAAGAGCAAGTGACGCAAGTGACTGCGAATGATAATTTTAGAAGCGTGCTTTGATCGGGCCATTCGAGCGGAACTGAAAGAATTTTATTTTTTGACTGGCAATTGTCAATTGCAATATTATAATTATCAGTTGTAACATTATAATTACAAGTTTGTAATATCATAATTATCAGTTTGAGGGAGTAATGTTTCTCAAAGGCTTGGCAAGTTTCGGTACAAACTTACTGAAAATCACACACGACAGTAACGTGGATCCAAACATTTCTAGATTTGTTTTTGTAAGAACAACTTTCTTGAAATGTCGTGTTGACAGTAACGATGCGAAACTTCGAAACCAAAATACATACGGCGATCAGAAATTCAAAGAAAAATAAATAAAATAAATAAAAATGATAATAATCTAAATTTAACAGAGAGAGCAGTCGGACTGAGATATAAAACACGTATAGTTACGTAGCGATATTGTAAAATGATAATTGGAAATGAAAAAAAAACATAATAGAAGGGAGGAAGTCTGATTTCGCAACACAGCTGGTTATACATAAAATATTTATGGAAACGTTGGTGTATAAAATATCGTCTGCTTAATTGGTATTCGAAAGAACGAGGATTAAACCAAATTACACATAGTGGAGATGCAGTAACAGTTGAATACTCACCAGTCGGTATTGAATTAATTCTGGCGAAATTTGATTCGGAAATTTACTCAAGAACCGAGTGTCGAAAGTCACTGTCGAAACGTTAACGTTAATGAAGAATGAGAACGGAAGAGCAAATTTCCTGTCATTGAAGCTGAATCATAGTTGATGTTTAATAAACACTTGATCAATAGTATTTCTATATATATATATATATATATATATATATATATATATATATATATATATTCGTAGCGCCGAGTTTGTTACTTCGAGCCAATTCCAAGCAGTGAAAATAACTCTCGATCGAATTAGCCAGACCATTCACCGTTCAATTAAACGCACTCTAATCTTTCTGTAATTAAAACCGATTAAAACACGTAGATGAAACAAGTGAAACTTGCATTTTTTTTATTAAAACATGCATGCTGCAACGTGCACTTTCTAATACGGTAGATACTTTCTAAATAAACACACGGAGCAATTGTTGGCATATTGAACACGATATTGATGTTCTTTTTTTTTTTTTCTTGGTATAAAAATAATAAAACGAAGATAAAAATAACTATCATATTTTTTTTCTTTTTTTGTTAGGCTACAAAGAAATCCTCATAGGCGTCCATGTTTGAACTAGTCTTGAAGGTTGTTTCATTCTGCTTTTTCCGGTTTACTTACGTTTTACGACACTGCAGAAGAATAAAACGGTGGCAAACTTTCCAGAAGAAAGGAGACTGTTGTTGCAACTCTAAACCAAAAGCAAAAGCTCTGGAAAGTCCTTCGATCCGTTTCGTAATTACAATGTCGTAACAGAATCGTTAGAATGATAACTCGATTTCCTCGAGTGGAAGGAAAACGCTTCGGACGTGCAAAATGCGTCTTCGAGTGTCTCGCGACGAGGGACGAGCGTTTTATAAGAAGACGTATGAACGTACTTTTAACGTTGGCACCGATTCAAAAGCGTCACGCGTATTCGCAATTTGTCACACGCGGGGCTCTCGATGGAATAAGAATAACAGAGTGTGGAGCAAGATCGGCTAAATAAATCTCGCGCCGATCGTTCAAGATCGTTTCTCAGCTCTCAGTTTCTTCGAGTCATCGGCGACGTGTTTAGAAAAGGCGGAGCCACGCGGTCCGCAACAGTGCAGACAACATTTGGAACGACGTTAACTCGAAGGCGCAAAACACGTCGATTATATTGATTTCGCAGTTACGAAACGAAACTACGGCCGATTAACGTCGAAGGTTTGTATTTAAATTGTCATTGCAAACAGCGAAGAGTTTAATCCGAATGTAATAATATAATAATCCGGTACGGGTTATTAAATGTTATTTTCTTTCACCTTTTTTCAGCTTATCAAAAAAAAAAAAAAAAAAAGATGTAAATTCGAGATTAAATAAATTCTAATTTCAGGTAATTTGAGTTTCTCTCTCTCTCTCTCTCTCTCTCTCTCTTTTTAATAAAGATTTTTATTGTCACAAAATAACAGCAATAACGAGCAAGCGGTAGCTTTTTAAGTAGTTGCCGGAATGTTATGCAATTTAATGGCTCGTAAAATTCCTATGAAAGAATCGTAACAACTTTTTCAATATACATGCATACATACATACATACATACATACACAGATATGTCAGCCCAGCGACATTAAATTGATTTTTCACCAATGAACCTCGTTAGTCCATCCGGCAAAAGAGAATAAATTGCGACAAAAAATTTCGAGATTCAATTTGAAAATGTTGCGTATTTAAATTGTTCCGGGCAAGCTGCAAATCAATATAATTCCACGTTCAAATATTTTTGAATATTTACTGCCGAGTGAGCTGGAGGTTATTCGCAGCAAAGCACAGTGATTTTCATTACATGCCCCATGTATACACACCTGTAATTGTATTCTTAAACGTTCTTCTTCCGATGTTTCAAATTCGAGGGCCAAATGTAGGACAAAGAACGAACACGTCTCGGAGTGCAACAACGTCTTGTCCCACTGTACTCGTCCTCGTTTCGAAAAACTTTCAAGAAACCGAGGAATATTCGCAAATGGAGTGCTCAGGTTCTAGTTTGCGGTCAGTACGCCCATATTCTTATGACCGTCGTCATCTTTGTGAATCGCAAACGAAAGTTTTCCTTTTTCTTCTTCTCTCTCTCTCTCTCTCTCTCCTTCTCTTCCTCTCTTAGCAGTATCTGTTGATGTTAAACTTTTGTGGGCCAGCGGTCCATTACAGTGATAACGTTGCAACCACCGGTTCTGCAGCACTGCATCGAGAAGAAACTGCTTTTCAATCTTCAAAGAGAGATTTTCTTGACCCTTTGCAACCAGATTTCTCGTTTGTTTCAAGGCGAAATTTGACGAGATTGATCAAAGTTCTTTTTTTTTTTTTTTTTTTTTTTGAGAGGAATGAGTATTAGTAGAGATTCACGATTGCTATGAATATATTGCTCGATGACTGGATCTTTAGATCTTTCTTTGTTCGATAGTTGATAGTATTTAGATTTTTTTTTTTTTTTTAATGCACTTTCAATCTCAATTTGAGATTATTTTGCACTTGGATTCTTCGTTAAATTTCTTATTAACACTAGAATACTAGATCAAAGTATAATATTCGTAACAAAGAAATTAAAGTGCAAGATACAAGAAGAAATTAGTAATACGATAGAGAACACAAACTTTTGTTAATATATTTTATTAAAAATCACTCGAGTGTCTAAAAATACGCTGTTATAAGTGTAGAAAATTATAAATTGATCATTTTGACCATTCCACGCAATTTAATTTCTCTTTTCTTTCTGCCTTTCTTTTAAGTTACGTAACACTTTTCTAACAAAACGATAAAACCAGAGAATCCAACCTGATTTTCTAAATTATTTTAAAGCGCGAAGCTTTCATTTTCACAATATATCTTCAAAGATATTTTTACATCGTTTCCAACAGATACCTTTTATCTCGAAAATTTTGCAAATTCAAACGTCTTTACGGAACGATGATAGAGTCTCTTTCACAATTAAATCAATCACAATCTCGAAGCGATTGAAACGATCCTCTAAAATTTCTCGTACGATTTTTTTTTTCGCGAAGATGGTAAAAGATGAAAGTATCGACAATTTTTCATTGAGTGTGTATATATACAGATGTATATATATATATATATACAGAACAGTATAAATATATATACATATATACAGAATATACAGAACAGTATAAATATATATATATATATATATATACAGAATATACAGAACAGTATAAATATATATACAGAAAAGAAAATCTAGAACACGAAGAATCTCTCGACTCCCTCGATCTCGGAAATTGTAAAACACATTTCGCAAAGAAAAACCTCTCTCTCCCTCCCACCCTCGGCGAAGTATAGAGTACCTACCGGTAGTCAGACTGTAATCTGCCCGTAAACGGCTTAAGTACGCTAATTCTCCGTACCTTGAGAAAACATCTCTCCGACGAAGGCTCTTAGAAACGCTCGTTAGGCTTGCTTTGTGAGCCACGTGATTGGTATACCCAATGGCTCGCTTTTACGAGGATGCCTCCTCTACCTAACCGGCTTCTCCGTCGTAGCCACGACGTTCTGATCTCGATTCTGTAACACGTGAGAATCGAAAGTCAGGCTCGGCGAAACTGCCGAGAACAACGGGATACGTATCAACGCGGGGCGAAGGCGATTTCGAACACGCGTCTAATACCGATTATACCACGGTTTACACGAGCGTCTTCCGTTTCGACGCTCGGCGCAACAAATAGACCAACGCCGGCCGTTCAGCGTGGTCGTTGAAGGAGGGAGAGAGCGAGGAGGCGCGTGTTTCTCACGGGTGGACGCGCGAACGAGAGCCCCGTCTGCTCGCGTGAATTTAATCGGATCGTTGGAAACGCCGATCCGACCGGATGCCTCGTATCAATCGGCTTGCCGTGAACACCGCGCACGAAACCACCGCTAATGAAATCGTACCGCGCTCCGAGGGCGAAGGATTCTCGCTGGTTCTGTAACGCGGCCGTGATATTCGGCCCCTCTCCTTCTCCTCTCGTTACCCGCAGTCTCTGCCACCACACGCACGTACATTCGTCGCCCCGAGGTGTGTGTTCCCCCTTCGTTTCTTACTTTTCTTTCTCCTTGCCTCCTCGTGGATCTTTCCTTCTCGTCGTATGCTTGCTCTCCGGAGTATTCCCGACTTATCATGGCAGACGCAGACAATTTTCCGACGCAGGCATTCCTCCTTTGTCATTCGTTTGCGTTTCGTGCGGTTATAATTGTTTGTGTGGTGCAACATGTATTATAAATTATTATACGTCGTATTTATGTATATATATATATGTATGCATAGATGTATATACAGGCCAGAAACGAAATAGGAACAGAATATAATTTTTATAAGAATATAATCTTATATTTTCAAGTGAATATATTTATTTATGTTATTACTTATATTTATTTGATGTTAAAGTAGTTTTTATTTTTCTTACCAGACCTAACCTATATACGTTAATATACGTACGATACAACGTATATTAATGTATAATTAATTTACGTAGTTTTTCACATAATTAACTACATTCCAATGCAAGATAACAAATGAATGAAATAATGCTGGAGTTTTTGAAACGACGATCCCTAAATTTCTACGCAGGTAAATAATTGAAATCGAAACGAATATTCTGTGTCGGTGAAAATCAACATCAATTTTACAGAGATAGGATTATGATAGAAATAAAATTTTATTTTGTAATTTCACGTGAAAGAAAACGGGAGATATCATAATTTCACGAACGGAAGCATTGGTGAGGCGAAAGATGTAGAAATTATTTTTAAAACTGCAATGATTCTCACTTAATTTTCTTAATTCCGAGGGAGGAGCTTCTGGTTTACATAAATTCGCACCGAGGAAAAAAAAAAAAAACGTATAAGAGCAAAACTTCAGCAAACAAGATAATCAACTTCGATGCGTAACTGAAAGCATAAACCAATTAAAGTGAAATACTTTGTACAAACTTTGTCGTTTGCAATTATCGAAATTTACTATTTAACCAGAAAGGACCGTTTAACTTTATCAAATTTAAGCGTCCAATGCTGCGAATGCGCATTCTGCGAAAGTGGAAACGTAACGACGTGTGTATTTATACGTGTTTTGTAACAATAAATTAAACGGGAATGCAACGAACAGTTGGCAGTGTATACACGTGTACGTGTACAGCCAGGCATTTCTGCCAGCGTCTCGAAATTCTGTCTACTAAATAACTTGAAGAATTTCGTCTTCACGTTCAAACAGTCGGGCATTATGTTCGTGTGTGCTTTCCAAAGATATCCGACGGCGTAGCAAAAATAAACAGCTGCTGGAACAACACGGAACAGACAAATACTAGTCCCCGTTTCGAAAGCCACACTAACGAAAAAAAGGAGACACACGCGTTTCAATTAACAACGCCTCAATAAACTGTGAACAAATTTTTCCCTGGCGTTTTACGTTTTTAGAAACTCGACCGCGTTTCTCTCTCTCTCTCTCTCTCTCTCTCTCTCTCTCTCTCTCTCTCTCTCTCTCTCTCTCTCTNCTCTCTCTCTCTCTCTCACTCACGGACGCGTTCGTCATCCGAGAATAAAGCTGTTAACTCGAAGAGCAAACACGTAAGACCAGCGAAATTACAATTCGCCATTGTTCGATCAATTATGAACATAATACCGCAGACGGTGAGAATATAAAGCTCGGTTTATCGCAAACGATCGTGTCCCGAGAAGCTTATCGATCGTGCAAATAACAACGTTGCAAATCGATCTTACGCTACGGCCGATCTACGAAAGAGAAAGAATTCGTAGAAACGAAAGAAAAAAGAAACAGACACGAGAAAAGGTTAAACAAAATAAAGAATTAAAAAAAAGAATCGAGAGATCTAAATTCGAAATAAAACGCTAACGAAGTGTTTCGAAAAATAAAAGCGAATCTGGATAGAGAGGTCAACGAATAATTTTACACTCGGTACAAACAGCCGCGCGATGCCAGAGAATCGGAACTAATCTGTGCACGGTTTTATCATCGTGGCGTGGAACGCTCTCTAAAAACCTAGTCGAAAAACCACACGTTATATCCATGGTAATACCGGGCGAATACTCGGGGAATTTTGTACTCTGGCTCTCTTGCTCATTCTCTCTCCCTTTCTCTCCGTTCCTCTCTCGCCGTACTTTCTCACCTGCCTACACGGGGAGAGTACACGGCGGTATCCTTAGCAGGGACCATTGTGTATACGCATCGTGTATTCACAGCTCCGCGAGACAAAAGAGACTACCTCCTTACGTGGTTCGGCAACGACTGGCCCGGGTGAGAGATGAGACTACGTAATAGTCGAGCGCGGATTCGTAGCTCGCTGCCTGATTGGTCGTTGCCGCGCGCTCATTGGTCGGCTCGCCCGAGCTGTTTCCACGGCGGACTCCACGCGGACTGCCTTCTCCCGTCCTTGTCCCACTCTTGGCCAACAGATTGTTGTTTCCGTCTCGCTTGTACCGCAACCTGTGTTCCTTCCCTGTCTCTCTATCGGCGGGATATTCGAACGTCGTCGTCGCACTTGCGACAGATACGATAGCAACCACGGTCGGCTGTTCTCGAGTCTCTCATTCTCCTTCTCGCAGTCTTTCCTTGCCTCGCGGCTCTTCAATCCTTCTTTCTCTTTCACCCTGCCACCCGTCTTTTTCCATCGTCGTCTCACTCTTTCTCTCTCTCTCTCTCTCTCTCTCTCTTTCTCTTTTTTTCTCTCTCTGTTCGTCGTTCATCCGTTTTCTCTGTCGAGCCCGCGAAAACAGTCTCTCAGCAGCAAAGCAGCGAGATCCCCCGGACGAGATATGAATTCACGTTCCTCCTTTTATATTCCACGCTCGCCTGCCCTCCATTTTGCTTGCTCGAGTCCCTTGTCTGCCTCGCCGATCTGCGACTACCGTATGTGTCGGCTGCACGGCTATCTCACAGACTTCACTCCTTTCCTCTCCACTCCTTTTCTCGCTCTCGCCCGAGAGAGCTATATATACGCGTATGATCGTGTTGTTCCGACGTCGTCGTCTCCGTTGTCTTCGTCGTCGTCGTCGTCGTCAAGCTCTCTTGGCCGCCGACGTGCTGCTTTGTACGATAGATGCATATAATACGTATACGAGTAGTGCTTGGACGTTTGCGATGGTATGTGCAAGCGTACACACTTGCATACGTATGACACACTGAAATATCTATATGCTCGTACAACGTGGTCAGCTGTGAACGCTGAACAGAAGAAGAGACACAGAGGTTGGAGCCAAGCAGTTTTTGCTGTGTGCGACGTGAGAACGAGATGGCGACGAAGAGAGAGTAGAGAGAGAGAGAGAGAGAGAGAGAGAGAGAGAGAGAGAGAGAGAGAGAGAGAAACGTCAGCGCGAGCAGGCATTGCCGCGAAAGAAAACGAAGAAGAGGAGAAACGAAGCGTTAAATATTAAAAACAATCCATCAATTAGCGTTAATGTCCGAGCATCGAGCGAGCCTGCTGCTACGCTCTCTTCTCGCTCTCCGTGGGGACACGTGTCCTTGCGTAACTGTGCGACGATCGCACGACTTCTCCATCACGCGTCGCATACGTGTACGTGTGTATGCAATATGCACGTATGTATGTACACACGCGACGGCTGGTAGGTATCATTTCGGTTCGTTAGGCGCGGCCCGCTGTCGTATAGGCGTTACGCGGTGTACATACGTCGTGTGCAAGGTATACATATGTAAAGTGTACACACGTGCGGTTGCACTACGCTTCGCCCTCCATTTGTACGTACACATGTACACAGCCGTGCATGAGTATATGCGTATGCGTATATACGTACGCACAGATGAACGTGCGCACGTGTGTACGGCGATCTGGCCATCGGTTGTCGATGATATTCGCATCGTGCCGAGACGTTTCCTTTCGTTGGGGTTAGCCGCTTCGTAAACGACCGACTGACTGGTCGGTCGATCGTTCGAACGGAAACGGTGGATCGAGACGAAAAGATCCCGAACCCCTTTCCCGGATCTTGCCTTCCTTACCTGGCTGAATCGAGTCTCACTTCTCTGGGTTGTATATCTGCACCTAGATGAATCGAGTTGGGAAGGGAATGGAAATCTGTGTTGGGATATATACTACCAGTCGGCACATGGTTGCCATGCGTCCGTGTTTATTGCCTGTACTTTAGAGATTACGGTCGCCGGGTGCACAGAGGTAAAAGGAGATACATACGTGCACAGAGTAGAAAGAAAATCACCAACTTATCGTGATGTTATAAATATCTCTATTTCGTGAAATTCCATAAAATCATAGAACGTAGGGAGAAAGAAGGGGGAGATTTGTCTTTGAAATTTCTCATGATCACGATGTCACGAGGAACGTGACAATTCTTTTATTCGATAATGTTCGTTATTCGAAAGGATTTTGCGACAAGTATAAACGTCAGAAATAAAAGCGTCGCCGCTTTACATTTATGGATGGAAATCCGAGGGGCTACCTCGATATAAGGTACGAGGTAAGGAAAAACCATCTTCGTAGAGAGCATGTATTCGTGATACGTATATATATGTGCGTGAGTATATGCATGTAGGATCGGCCGATACGCGCGATACTTCTACTCTCTGATTTTTTTTTTTCAAATAAATTTTTATTTCACTCGGATAGAGGATTATTCGTTACTCCCGAGTGACTTCGTCTTATTCGCTCGACTTTCTTTTTTTAGTCAGAGAAGAATCTTACATCGGAAAATATACTTAAAATTCTACTCGTATCGCGTTCTATGCAAACGATCCGCAATCTCGCTCCAGAGACAGTGACCAGGGAGACTCATTCAGCCGATTTACAAGGGGAACAACCGTTTCGCGCATTCCCGAGGCAGTTGTCGTGCCACCACTGCGATTAGGAGTATTGTGGAGTTCGCGAGTTTTGGCTAATCGGGCGGGGCCATTCTTCGGGGCGAAGATCGAAGGAAAATTGACCTTTAACTTCAAGTTTCACGCGTTCTCCAGGTGCTTGCCACGTGAAACGTAACAGTAGAACTGCGTGATAAATTATTACAGGCACGATAAGAGTGACCTAGGGTAATATTTTTTTTTCCACAGAGAAGAAATCGAAAGTGTAGAATATTGCTCTTCGGGCGAGATTTCTCAGAGAAACTTGACTTTGCTGATATGGCAAGTTTTACTAAATTTATTATTAAAGAAATTAGGAGAACTGGTTTACTATCTATTAAACATTCCTTGATTTTCAAATTATACGTTGGTATATTTAGGGAGACGAAATTTTGTTTGATACATGAATATTGATAACAAGATAAAGAAATATTAACGAGTAATTAAAACTAGATATTAATTAGCTCGCGTGTATCGATGGTCATAAATAATTTTAAATAAATATTGATCAAAACTTTCCTATCAACGATTATCAAATAATCAAAATGTTCGCGTACGATATTAATATTTTGAAAAGAAACAGTTCGCGCAGTACAGAAGTTAGGGAAATTTAACGTTACTTGAAATTCCTAATAAACCTTCACGGAAAAAACGGAGCCTTCTTCAAATAATATCCTACCTCGTATATCAGAGCTCAGGACGTGAACTACGAAGTAGAAAGTTGCCTGCTTCGTACAACTAGTAAAGACAGAGTAACCTTTGAACTTAATAATTTATTTATCTAAGGGTTCCGCTTTTAATGGATCGTTACGTTGTTGTTGCACGTTAATATAAGATTACATTATATTTACAATTTTCGAACGTCAACATCGATCTAACTAAAAATTAACCTGTCTTTGATAATTTTTAATCCCGCGCCAAGAAAAAAAAGAAGGGTTTCTACGTGAACGACGACCTAGTTAACGGGTCGTTAAGAAGAGAGCGCTAACAAAGCGAGACAATCATCAGCGAGAGCCGAGTTTTTCAAAAGAAACCGAGCTTGAAAAGTAGAAGAACGGTAGAGTAACAGCACAAATGAATTCTACAACACTGGCCATGCAATCATGTCGATCCTTCCTTTTCTTTCTCACGAGGAACGTGAGGTCTCTGAATATTGATTATTTTATTTTATTCTCAAATTGTAGATTTTGGGAGAAATATTTTACTCAGCAAAAGTATCTTATTGATAGACATTTTATCATAATTCTGAACGTCTAAACTATGCTCTATACAAGTTCGATCTCAAAAATAATTCCTAAAATGATGTACTTCGAAGTACGATATTGTTATCGACTTGCACGAATCAAAATCTAACACTAGATCTTCAACTACGTTGCGTTATAAATTTAAACATTGTAAAACTAACTTTTCTACAAACTAAAATTCTGACCTGTTGATACTTCTTTGTCCACCAGAGAGCTAACAGTTTACCAAAGTTTTCTGTATGTTGCGAGATATACGTTTAAAGAATTCCTCAGAGAGAACACGTCGAAATTACCCAATTGCTCTGGCGATCGGTAATCTCGAAAAACGGGTCTTGAAACACGGGGGAAGGGAGCTCATTACACGGTGTCCCTCTGTCTCTCGATGTTTTCTCGCATTGCTGGTGACCGATACGCTTTCGTTTATCGTGGGCCCTGTTGCATATATGTAAGTAAGCATTTACGTGGTTATACGCGAGCCCCTTGTACGTGGCTCCTTGAAAGGATCTCGTTAAGCCTGGTCGCGGATCGTACGCGATCGGACTTTTTCATCGGAGTAAACGGTCCAGCGGAATCGCATTATCGAATCACCGGCGACTGGTATAATTAACTCGTCCACGTCGCTTATTTATTCCCTCTCGGCCTATATCGCCGTCCGCGTAAAACAGCCTGTCAAACGTGGCCGCCGATGAACCTGTCTCGCGTCCAGATAATCCGGTAAGACGTTTAGCCAGCGTGTTGGTCAGTTTTAATCGGGATCATCCCGTATCGCTGACTTACATTTCTGTTTTGTTGATCTTACCGAGAGGGGATGGTGGTTGGCCGATTGAAATGCGCTGAGATGCACGAGATGTTTCAACGCTGGCGGATCAGGGGGATTAAAATATAAGATTCGCGAATTAAGAAATGGAAATAAGCAAGTTATAAAGAAACGTTTAATGTAAATTTGTAGAAGTTAATTCAAAAATCCGCGAATCCTGCATTATCCTAAGCGTGTAAAATCTCGATTACGAGAAATTGCAAATGCCCACGTTACACTAACAAAATTGGATCTGTTATATTGTTAGAAAATCTCAAGAAGAAGAACTCACCATCGACCCGAGGTGCATGAGCAAATGAACGAAAGAATCCGAAACGAGAGAGAAAAAAATCAGATCGGAATGACGAGCGGAAGAATGGTCTAGATTCCGCCGGGGAGATGAAAGAGAAAGAAACTGAGAAAGGAAAAGGCGGTGGTGGAAAGAGGAAGGAGGTGGTGGCGAGGTTGGAACATTTGACAGAACACTTTGTGTCTCGAGCCGTGGCCAGTGCAACGACATGCATCGGCCGCAGCAAGGGCGACATTATCGCCGGTTGCACACACCGCGCGGCTGCGGATGGTGCGGTATGGTGGTTAGGGGCGGTTAGGGCAGTGCACCACAAGGGTGGTCAAACCGCAAACGAGACCACCGTCCTGGCTATCTGCTATCTGGATAACCACCGCCGCCGCCGATGCCCTCCGCCTCCACGTTCGCCTCTTGCACACCTCCGCCTCCGGAACGAGAGAGACTGGCCAGCTAAAAGAGACAGAGAGAACGAGCCACGTTACCGTTCCACCCACCGCCACCATCACCACCACCACCACCACCACCACCACTACCGACCCTCGTCGTCCGACCGACGATACTCGCCGACGTAACGCTCGCTTATCTCGCTAATTTCGTGTCGATCGATCATCGAAACGCTCGTAAGAACGTTTTAACGCGTCAACGAGCACCTCTGCTTGGATATCTTCCAGTCTTCTTTCTTCTTTCTTCTCTTTCTCTCCTTCTCATTCTCTTTGTTCCACGGTACGTTTGTCGAATGGTGGATTTATTTTATTTTTTTCCC